GAAAACTCGGGATCAGCAAAGGCGATGATCGCTTTAGATGGCGACATCTCCTGAAGCAGCTGGTTCGTCAGACGAGGGTCCGCATCAATCAAGAGGGAATCCCCAGCCACTACATGATACGGCTCGTAGGTCAATAGATTGTGAGCTAGGCGAGCTGCTTCATCCATCAGAGATGAGCTTGGTTGCGTTGTGTGGAAATCGACATGCGACTGTTGGGCCAAAGTCGAAACCAAGTCGTGGCCGACACCGTGATCGCGCAAGAAGTTAATGTACGAAAATATCTCCTGAAGGACGAGCCCCCGATGGGTAGCACCTTTCTGGGTCAGGTCCACTGCGCCAACATGTGAGTATGAATATCTCTTTTTATTGATTTAAATTACTCACCCTTCAAGCCAAGAAGCGTGCTGATGGTATTCCTGTCAACAACTGGAGAAATGCCATCAGCGAGACCTAGCAGCCGGAGGCGCTTCGCCAAAGATCCCTCTCCAGTGTACTCAAGTAGATACGTGAGTACGCTGGTAGGTTGCTTTTTCTGAAAGATTCCTTAGATGCATTTCTGAAGAAGAGAAGGGCGCAATGTTGAACTCACGTAAGAGGTAAGAGTGGGTGGGAGACCAAATGCAACCCAAAGGCTAGGCTGCGAAGAAAAGCTCTGGAGGTGAATGAACTTTCCACTGTTGGTGTGGTCAAACGGCTTGACGGTGTCGAACATAGGTCCAGGGCACTGAACCATCCCGAGCCAGTCAGCGTGACCCGCCGATATGCCTATTACCAATGATGATGGGCGATGCTTTTAACATCCAGTTGAACATGATGTTACCTTCGAGTTTCTCCCTTATCAGCGATTCTTGCTCATCAAGAGATCGCGGTGAAATTGTGACAGCAACCTAATTTCAGGCATTGTGTGAAACTTCGAAGCGAATTTACCAACAGGCCACCACTTACCATGTTTGATCCACAGTAGTATTTGCTGTGGAAGTCTCTCAGGCGGTCAACCAGGTCAATTCCTTTCGCTTTCGGATTAGTACTCAGAGTTGCGGAATTCCCAGTGGCGAATCGGGACATAGGCCCCTTGGCAAGAGAGCGAATTGTGTACCACGCCCTCTCGTCATCGTTGGGAATGTTTTTCTGGTGCTCGGCGTCAATCGCGTTGACCTCCTTTTCTTCGTACTTGCGGTCGAAGAGAGGAGCTTTGAAAAACTCGGAGAAACGGTCCAAGGCCTCTTCAAAAGCGCTGTCTGTAACCTTGTTGAAAAAGACTGTCTTCTCTTCGTCAGTATAAGCATTGTTCGCTCCGCCGTTTTGTGTCAAAAAGCTATCATAGCTTTCAGGCTCGGGATACTTTGACGTCCCAAGAAACAGCATGTGTTCAAGAAAATGCGCCAAGCCAGGTACATCTTCAGGATCGTACAAACTGCCAGTATTTGCAGCCACTGCGAAGCCTGCCTCATTAGATCGAGGATGATGCACCGCTATGGCGTGCATGCCATTGCTGAGCTGGTAGTGGCGGAAATCTCGGTAATCGGCCTCTGGTTTGAGGACATCATTTGCCAGTGCTCCAATCGCAGAGAGTCCAACGCAAAGACCAACACTTGCCGCGTTCCTCATCTTGGCCGGAAGAACGTAGCTGAAAAGGGAAAATTTTGTTCAGTCGAGTCCAGGGTGGAGAACTCTGGAAAACTCTGGCGCACATAGTGGTGTTCAGCTGTTAGTCATTGTGCGGGGTGTCTGTACACTGCCACGTAGCTCACGCTCCTTGTACCGTGAGTGTCTGAATTCGCATACAGATGCTGTAGCTGTACGCATTGCGATCTTGAATCCAACTAAAAGTAATCAATTCTCAGACTAGGCTGGCTTTGGTAATAAGCCTTTCAGTGTAGTGGAACCTACAAGGCTTTCAGAGGCGAATGGCATTTTGTTCGTGACGAGAATATAGGCTAGTGGTATCATGGTGCCATTCTTCGACGGAGCGTGATCCTCCGTCGCAACTGAAGCTTTCGACATGAAAACGCTCCTCTAATTACCTATAATCTCAGTAGAACTTCGTTTATTTGCCAAATTCCTCCTTTTTGGGACTTTAACCCTTCAGAGCTTGAGCCTCACACTAGCATGCAATCAATGCACATTTGATTATGTGCCTCCCGTAGTAAAACAAAGTCGTGTGTGTATGTTCATAACATAAGAATTTAGTTTATTTCAGTACAATCAAGACGGGCCTCTTGATTCCTGAAACGGGTGTCTAGGTACATCATAGTGCGGCGCACGCATGTTGCTTGTAGAGGCCCTCCTCGCGCTCAGCTGCGCTCAAGCACGATGAAATGTTTCCGCTTATGACTGAAATATCAAACATGACTCTACCACAACGCCAATAAACTTTACAGCTGTCCGTGTTCCGAAGAAGGAACCTTCGCAGGTGGCGGATCAGACACACGCAGGAACATGGCTGCCGATGACAGAGAATATCTCTCCTTGGTGAGGGCTAAGCATTGGCAGCAATGCAGCTGCTGACCAGTAATACAGGAACTAAGCGAAAACGACTCTCATTTCAAAATTTGGGCTGACTGTTTTCAGAAGGTTATGCGGCTTTCGCAGCCATCATGGGAAACTAACGTATGGCCACTTGTTTCTCTGCGCGACGCAGCGCGCGAAGATGCTGATGCATTGCAGGCTGCCACAGAGGAGGCGGTCAATGAGAAGTGGCTTTCGAGTGCTCATGCCCTGCTACTGCCAGTAACACAAGGGTAGGGCAGTAGCGTCGTTCACAGAAACATCCGCATATGAGGGATCTCGGCAGTCTTGGGAGCACTAAACACTGAAGAGAAGCGTACGCGTCTCTATTCTTTTTTCTTGGTGGTTAGGCGAGTCTTTAGTGGGGAAGTCTTCTCGGCATACCTCAATATTACGAACACATCAGCAGTTCAAGCCAACAACGTTAAGCTGCAGGTGAGTCCCACGCTTGCTGATTTTGCAAAGTTGTCTGAACAGCAAGTACATGTGTTGAAAAGCTGCAATATCTTGCGTTGGCCTTTTTGTGAAGGTTGAGCTTTTCCTAGGGCACTTCAGATATGTATTATTCGACAATTCTGAGGATCCTGTTTTAAGCTTGAATCCTGAAGATTCGTTCGACTGCACGATTCAGCACCAGCTTGAGGAGTCCGGAACATGCATGTAGGTTATTCTTCCGTGCACTGATTCAAGCTTAGAGACAGATGTAGAGAGAGAAGGCTCCCATGAATTTGTTGTATGTGGACATTGTCTCCCACTAGGCTCGTTTGCTCCATTTCACACTACATCGCTTCATCTGCGGAGCCGAAATCCTTCAAGAAGTCATTCAGATTTACTGCTCAGAGCCCATTCAAGGTTACCCATCGCATTGCGCACCTGCAAGTACGACCTTCGTAGTTTTCTCCAGCTTGTAGGAACGAAACATGCATGTGGAAAGGCATGAGTTTGCAACTAGCAAGCGTCATTCTGTATTCCACTTTCCTGTTCTCAGGACAAAACGGTTGTTGAATGCACACTACTTAATGTATCTCAGCAGTTTGTTTTTCTGAATGAGGCCACAATACTGTGCGCCGAGGGTTTGGAATGCACCCGGCTCGATTGTTGTGCTCCTGCTTCAGAGTCGTAAGTTTTTGTGCCGTCATGCAATCGCTAACAATTGTTCAAATTTCCTTCCAGTGGTGGGTGTTTCTTGCCTGATGAAATGGTAACACGCACAGGCAAATTGGCAGCTCGTGTACAGGTACAGATAGGATCTTGGATGCTGGCTCTGCGCACAGATTCTGCAAAGGAATTCACAACTTTCGCCCTAAGGACTGTTTTACTGTACTCTTTGCGCTCTTTCCCACAAATCCTCAGCTGTTTTTGGAAGACCTAGCGAAGGTGGGACTGCACACCTCGCTATTGTAGAATCGCGGGAATTCCTACTTGCAAACTGACCAGATGACCGCGTGCGTGTGCTCTCCTCCAGCACGTGCCGAACTTGGGACAACTAACACTTCAATGGCGCACATCAACCGGGGGTGTTGGAACCGTAAGCGATTACCTGCTGACAAATGTGCCTCAGCCGATGCAGCCGCTTGAAGTCCGTCTAGCTTCATTTCCATCATCAGTGGAGGTAAGATGAGGAGTATTCAGTTCAAACTGGATAGTGCAGCTGAGCGTCAGCTGTTAGATTTTTCGTAAAGTTGCTTGTTACTGCAGGTCGATCGACCATTCCATGTGGAGTTAGAAGTCATCAACAGGCTTAACACTGCTCTGCAACTCGTGCTTAATGTCAAGCTATCAGAACTCGAGCCGTTTGTCCTGGAAGGCCCAAGCCAGCTGGTAACTATTATGTTTCCCTCACGTTCGCAAGGTGAGCACTAGAGGATCCCTCGCGCAAGCTCCTGCAGTTCCTCACATTGTTCGTTCAGACGCTCGGACCCCTCGGCCCGCGGTCATCGAAGAGATTCGCCTTTGAATTGCTCTGTCTTGAGCCAGGTATGTAGCTTAGCTCTTGCGTTTAACTGCTCGCGCTCTGTCATAGAGCGAACTGCGTGGCCTGCCGTTTGCATGGAGTATGGAGAGGGCAGCGTATCAGCGTACGTGCCCTGGTTATGCCCGCAGGATTCCATTCGCTAGGGGGCATTCAAGTGTGCGATTCCGCAACTCAGCAGCGTACGGGGATCAGTCCGCCATGTCACATATTAGCCTTCTAGGTGCTAAAAATACTGAGGAACTGACAGATTCTCATTTTTTCGTCAACAAAATGCTTTCACACGTCGCTGTGCTATCAGAGCACTTGCCTTGCAGCTTCGCCGGATGCCATTAGTAGCGCGGCTGACAGTGAGTGGCCAATAGGGTCTATTCCAGCAGTGAAAGACGCACACGCCTGAGCTAGGCTTTGCAATAGTGCAGACGCCAGCTCTCTCTCTGTACAGCTGTTTTTCGCGTCGCACAGTACAGGAATTGCTTCCTATTGCAAAGTGTGTTGACGCGAGCCGGATATCCAGCATTCAAACCTGTAGGCGCTCCTGGGGACCTAAGTCCTGTTCATCTCCAGACTTATCAGCAACCTTTCCCACCAACGACCAGTGCTCCGCTGCTTCATCTTCTAGCGCCTAAACAAGTTGCACCAAGAGGTGGAGACCAGCAGAATTTACCATATGCGTTGAAGCTGCTTCATTCAAGCTTTTGCTAGGTTGCCCATAGACGTTTACCTGTAATCTCACTGCCTGCTCCTTCTGCGCTGCGTCCTTCAGCTTCACGCTGACCGCCAATAGGCGAGCGCGCTGCCGGCGCAACTTGGACTTCCAAACATCTTGAGCCTCAGGCTGAGCCGGAGCTAAAACTGCTGGCTCTGCTGCTTCTAGTGCCTGGCACAGAAACACGAGCCTAGATCTCTTGAAATTGCGGCCAACCGTGACATCAAACGCTTAGTACGACGGAGTGCTGAGGCATGGCGCATACCTTAAAGATATCATACAGGGACGAGTTTACAATCTGAGCACAGCTGTAGATTTGAGCAGCGCGAAGGGCTGCCGCCCTTCTTGGCGTCATGCCTTCGAGTTGCAACAGATGCTGTAAGGCAGCTGAATCCCCGTGCTCTTCTCCACTTCCACCGGGAAAATTATCTTTTCTCGATGGGTCCACTAAGGCCGAAGCCAGCGCTCCTGTGGGCGAACAGGCAAGCTTAAGTTTCCCCGCCAGCACAAAACAGATTTCCGACAGCGCTGCCCTGAAAATATCGACCGCGAAAAATCACGTTGCCACTCGTGTGACACTAAGCAGTATTAAGTTTCTGCTGATTCCAAAAACACCTGCGTGCACTAATTTGGGAGGTGCTTAAAATCGGACTACGCATGAGAGTAGAACGCACTCTTGAGGACGAAGGATGCGGAGGAAAGACGCAACAGTGGAGGCAACAAGCGCCCCTTGTGTTGCACATGCCATTAGTGTGCTTCTGGTGACACCAAACCTGCGAATTTACACAGTTTAACTAGCCCTTTGGTTTACTTCTGCTTATTAACCTGGGTAGTGGTGAGCGCTGTGGTTACGTACAGCTTGCGTTGGCTGCCACTTGCCTGCGCATGGCGGACTCGTACGCTTCCCCTTCTCGGTATATCTCATGCAACAGCAGCGCATAATAAAAGCGACGATGAATTTCTAAGTCTACGCGCGCTCGAAGTTGACTGAAACTTAGCCTGAAGCGAGTTCACATATTGCACTATTTCAAATAGCACCACTTTCGGGGCCTTCCAAAATAACTGTAGGCTAAACGTCCACTTCTAGCTACAGTAGAGGTACCAAACAACGATTCCTCTTCCAACCACAGTGGAGTTATGGGAAAGGGCATGACCGCCAACCTTTCAGAAAGCAGGAGGTCAGCGGTGTCATTTGTGCACCGGCGAGGTGCTCCTTGCGTTTTGACGGCTTCCCTGGAAATAAATTGCCTACGAATGCCCAGGGCGTCAGCAACTCGCCTGAATGCAACCACTTGCAACGAGACCCATCTGATACTTTGTTTTCGTGGAGTTCTGTAGCTCTTGCAAGTGCACACGTCTGAGTCTCTAAAACGTTGCAGCACAAATGATAAAAGTTCTTCGCAAAAGAAAGGCACGAACTGACCTGCAGCTCGAGTCAAGTCTGTCGTATACAGAGAGGTACGACTGCCAGTGTGGCTGTGTTTCGCCTCCAACAGCTACTGCAGCGATAAAGATGAGGTGAAGCTCCGTACACGCGCAAAGACCTGTAATACCACAGGCTGCGAATAGCCGAGGATCTGTCTCCTTGCGTGCTGACTGTGGCTGTTTTACAAAGAGCACATTGGATCTGCACTTTGCAGCTTGATTCTGCAAAATCAACTTTGCTGACGGAAATGTAACTCTGACCTAGAACGCTCGCCTTGAATATGTCAGCAAATAGTTCAGCTGCTTCCCATGGTGCAACTCCTGCCTCAACCGCTGCTCCTCCCACTTCTGTTGTTGCGATCTGGCCCCCAATATCCCTCCAAGTCGCCGCCATTTCACCCAGGTCAGTCACTTTTGAGTTATTTCTGAGGTTATGTTCCCCATCTAGGTGCGTAGCCAACGCTTCAAGCCCACGGAAATGTAAGCGGACACTTGACGCAAATGCATCGCTTTCACCACAGGTCGGCGTTAAATTACTTCGACCAACAGCGCCGACCTTCATAGCAAAACCGGTTGGCAAGACAGGTAAATTCCCTGAAGGGGTCGCTGCTGCATTAATCACAAGTTGCTGAGCACTGCCAGAGGAGTCAGAAACAAGCCCTTCTCTGGCCTTCTCTTTGATTTCACACCCTTGCAGCATCCTGGCAAGAACTACGGGAGACCGCAAACAGGGATACTGCTGCAAGAGCAGCCTGCAAGCGGCCGATAGGCATGCCGAAGGAAAGGCGAGAGAGCGCAGCGGGTGCCTGCGTTTTTCATCAGCAGCTGCTACAACGCTAACTGACTTTTCTGACGCGATGTCCCAGTGTGGTCTTCCTAGTGTGGTAGCTGATATTTGTGGGTTTGCCTCGGAAATTCCATACGAGCCACTGCAGCTCTTGATACCGGCGGATTCGTCAGTGCGGCAGATGGGAAGAGGTCCACTAGGCTCAGCTTCAATGAGATAGTACGTATGCAGGTAACGAGCAGCCTCTGCAGCTTCCCTAACGAGCAACGTATGCGGCTCCTGCCGAAACAAAGCGCAGCGTGAAGGGGCTTAAGCTGCTTTTTACGGGACTCCACTTGCCACAATCATGAGTTCTGACTGCCTCAAATACAACATTTCCCTGTCGATGGCGAAATTCCTTTCCAAAGCAGTAGCCTGAGTACTCACAAAGCATACCTGGTGACCCCGAAGAGTGCAGCGCAGCAAAATAGCTGCAACGTCAACGAATGCACAGCTCGCCAAGCTCTTCGGAGTCTCCCTCCAACGACGGACTAGCGGCAGAAGCACATGTACAGCCTCGAGGAAGAAGCGGCAGAGGTGTTGTCCCCTCAGATTGGATGTCACCGCATTCACGCAGCACTTCGGGGTACAGCTTGCAGAGTCCGACATATCTGCCGAGGCTACAGCATCGAGCAGTTTTCGAACGTGTGGTAAAGTCGTGGGTGAGCAAATCAGGTAGGCGTCTCCTCTGTAAAGTAAGGAAGCGTCAAACGCACTCAGCTACGCATAGAAACATATGAGCCTGTTCCAGAGGGGCCCTTGCGTTAGTGCCCTGCGGCTAGAGTTACATTATTGCTGCACTACTTCGTAGTGCAGCAGCTAGGTACCACAAGTGGCTCCAGAGAGTCCACTTTTAATCCCTGCATGAACGAAACCCATAGGCAAGAACTAGACCAGTTTCTGGGAAACAGCAAATGTAGGTTAAGCACTGCATCGCACTTGTGTTCAAGCCCCTTGCGACCGGCGCGACCAGCCATCTGGTGAAAGCGACCCGGGGAAAGAAGCTCATCTCGTCCAAACTGAAAAATCCACGAATCGTACAGCCAAACGAAATGAACAGCGTCGGATAGTCAATGAAACGCCGTTGTGCTAAGCACAGGAAAAAGTTGCTGGCAGCTTTTCGTACGATCAAGGCCACGGCTAATAGAATGGCAGGATGAACAGCGCCATAACCATTTTTGCAGCCCCAAGTTAGCACGGACGCATAAGGGGTATTTCTTGGACATTCGTGTTAGCTACGGGTTAAAACTAGTATACCAAGGGAATAACTGGCATACATGGGGTGCCCGAATTATGACGCGAGCAGCTGGTAAGTTTACGCCAAGAGCAAGCGTTGACGTGGCGCATAGCACATTCAAGTAGCCTTTGCGGTACCCCATCTCAAGTAACTCCCTTTCCTCCCCGCTTAGACCTGGCAGCGAGAACAGACGCGTGATGTGTTTAAATAGCCATCAGAGAGAAAGAATCCAACTCGACAAACTGTTACAAATACATAGAACCGACTCACAAACTGGCGCAAAAACATGAAGCATTAAGCTAAGTGAAGCAAACAACATGTCAGCAGACAGGGTGAGGGGAAATGAAAAACAGAAGAGCATCCCTAACAGAAATTGGAGACTCAAATGTCAGCATCTTTGAACTAAAAAGTCTCACCGGCATGGTGGTAAGCGACGCCTTCACAGACTGCGGCAAGCATAGTAGTTGGAGGCAAAAGTGAAATTTGCTTCAGATGCCACTGCAGCTCTTCTCGTCCTTTCAGGTTCTGTGGCTCAACGTACAAATGGGGACTTTGGACCAGCAACTGCGCGAGCAAAGTGACCGGCATGGCAAGAAGCTCTTCCAGTGCTTCCAGATAAGCTTGCTTCTGCTCTTGCTGCAAGCGATTCTTCTGCTCTTGGACGGCATCTGAAGCATTTTGTTGATTCTGAAGAAACGGTTGCACAGCCGCTGGGTGTCTGAGCCTTCGCCTTTCGAGAAGAGCAGCAGTACGCTGCTTTATCAGATCAGCCCACGCCTCTGCTCGTCTGTAGAATGGCAGCGCTCTGCACGTTCTCAGAAGCAGACACTCTACCAAGAAGTATTCACTGCCCAAACGGAGACAATTGCTTGTGCGTGAGCAGATGTGGAGGCAGCTAAACTTTACCAGCTGCTGCATATGCACGGCCCATCAAGCGATAAGGGTCTCTCACTTCGCAAGGAAACTAGCAGTGCGGGCTGTCCACTCCTGAGTGGGGCAAAATATGATGACTTTGCGGCCTTCTCGCAAAATCTCCCATGTCAGTGCCCCGAGATGCTCGGCATCCGCCTGCCATCCAGCGCGGAGTCCCACGGTAGTTGCAGCTGTTTTTGAGTGCCGGGAAGGGTCTTCACGTCCTGGTGAGGATAGCACTGACGAGTCAGCGTCAGGCTGTTCTCTCAGGAAACGCAGAGCAGAAGCAGCTATGAAAGCATGCCCACCACTTGAGTCGGCTGTGTGCTCTAAGGTGGCAGGCAAAAGTCCTGCTGTTGCAGCGGCGCAAGCAGAAGCGGCTGCTCGCACGGCACGTGCTGCAGCGCAAGTTGCAGCATCCCCAACTGGAAGCAAAGAGAGAGATCCACCATGCAACTTGCGTGCTAGCTGTAGTCCCGATGCCTTGTCCCACGAAAACACCTGCAGAAACCGCCAGCAAGCACATGAAATGCCTCGTAATGAAAGTTCCCACTCCACGTCCCCAAGCAGCACTTTTCCACAATGCTCCTCAGAGTCCCCCGGAGATGTTGTACATTCGGCACTCGCATTTATGTCATGTATTGAGACGAATTGTAACCCTATTATACTTGGGAAAATGTTGTTGCAGCGGCAGCAGCTACCAAAGATGGTCTGACCTCTGGGCCAACTTTCACGAAGATGTCCAGAGGGGACGGCCGCTCGTCAGTTACAAATAATTCAGCGTTGAGCCAATCCGCAATCTGTGGGAAACAGCAGACCAGCTTTACATCGCGGCAGGTAAGCTGGCGCAACATAGGATGTATGACTGACGCCGAATAAGACTCCCATTTGAAGCTACAAAGCGTGCGTCATTAAGTGTGGCAGCGCACCTGGCGAGCGTTCGGTAAGGTAGCGGACATTCCGATCAGTTGAATACGCCTCTTAAGACTTTCGTTAAGAAACAGTAGTTTCGCTAAAACCATCTCGAGCAGATGCCCTCTCTGGGGGTCTCCAACGAAGTGAAGTTCATCCACGCAGACGAGGCCAACTGGAAAGTCTTCTCCTACGACTGCCATTCGACAGTGCAAGCTTTCCCACCACTCATTTGCCCATGATCCACTCTCATCCTGCGCTGAAGGCGGCAGACTTGCTTCTGGCACCTCACATTTGACCAGTGCCTTGGAAACTTCGTTCGGGACATCACCAGTTGCGACTTCGGGGACCAGTAGATCTAGAACAAGCCTATAAAGACACACTTGAGATCCTAAACTACACATTTCAAGTTTTCAGCAGCAGTTTCAGCCTGAAATGACACTCAGTTCGCTCAGAATGAAAGAAAAATTTCAAAAGAAGGCTTTGAGTCATACCGCAAGCTGCTCTGGTCGTCAGAGAGTCTAGGGCGTGATGACATGCCTGTTAATAATCATGTTCGCCTTCTCGAGCGTGCAGACAGCCACGTCAACTCCAGCATACCAGTTGGAAGCCGCATCTGATAGCTCAAAAGCATGCTGCAGCAGCAAGGATTGCTCTTAAGATTTGTTGCTGGTAGTCTGTGCCATCCCCATACACTTAAGGGGCAACAAAAGTGCACAAGGGCCAGTTGCGCTGAAGGCGCATTTCAGATCCGCTCCTGTCTTTTCACTTTGATGTTCTTCGGTATCACCCGGCATCTACAACTATGTCATCTTTTTCCATCTCCTTTAAGTACAGGAATCGTGGGCGTCTGCAGTACTCTTGCGGCTCACTTGCTCCTGCATGAAAAGCTTCGACGCGCAGCGTCAAGGGGCCCAGTAACTGGCGAAGATGCTGGACTTTCTCCGCGCAAAGGGAAACATGTGGCACAATCACCAAGGAGCGCACGCCTTCGAAGAGCAGGCGTCTGTAACGCAACACCAAGTATGAAGACTGGCTACTAGACCTTAACGCCATTTTTGACTCGGCTTTACGCTGCTTCGCACTTTGCAGATTTGCAGATCCTAAACCATGCGCCGCTTGTACAAAAATGTTCTTCACTACTACGGATTTCGTACTTTTGAAGTACTGAAATCTTGTCTTCGTCTGCCTACCTGGCAAGGAGCACTTCGGCTACCAGACTCTTCCCACCAGATGTAGGGGCACAGTAGACAAGAGATCGCCACGCAGGCGCTTCAGTGACTGAATAAATTGTACCCCAGTATACATAAACCAAAAATGTACACTAGTTCTTGAAGAAAAGTACGATTGCTGGTGGAGAGTATAGGGAACCTCCTAGCGTGCCAAGCCACACCAGCAACCAGCAACGCGTAGAATTCGTTCCAAAAGTTGAAGGAAGCTGCATCTGTTAGTTCCTTTCAACTGCATCTTACCCTCTGTGAGCGTGGAATGGCCTTTTTTTGGCAGCGCAAGATGCAAACAGTGAGCTTGCCACGGATACAAGCTGTCAACCCCAAGGGAGGCATAAGCCCTGCAACAAAAACGTGAAGGATACGTGACCACGAGGTTTTCTGCAATAGTCGGTGTGCATATCTCATTCAAGGGCCCCCGTGAAACGAAGCTTGCCTGATGAGAGGAGGTGGGAGGCACCAATGCCGAAGATCTAGGTTGCTGCTTGTCCTGGCTGTCAACGAATAAGGCGCAATACTCTCCGGGATTTCTATACGGCTCCCCTTTCCACGAACTGCAAAATCCAGAGAACCAAAGCCGATCCTACAGGAGCATTTATTCTGTCGCCGGCTAATAATACGGTGCAGGGGGCTATTTGGGAATTTGCGGATACACGGCCAAACTCTAGTGCAAATATCCAAATTGGACCAGACATGAATTGGCAGATGTGCGGATAAAAACGCACACCCACGAAAGTATGAGATTATACCATAAAAAGAGCAAATCGCCCTCTGAAACCGCGGAAACGGTGTTTGAACCGGAGCTGCATGAGCGTTTCATAATAAGTCAAGATACTAACTCATAGCAAGTTGTGAATCAGCCTCATAAAACAGCTGGCTAAGCTGCTACGAGAGGAGCAACCTGCTAAAAGCCTGCTGCAAGCTAAAACGGCCTTCACATGCGCACCAGCCCCGAACTTGTCAAGCTGCGCGACGGATGATACAAACTTGCGAAGTCTACTCTCCAGTCACATGGCAGCTAGTCTTCACAGCAAAATCCAGAGCACCGACACTGCAGCGGATCCTTTATCTAGGCGATGAACTGCTGGTGGCAAACGCGTAGCCATCCATTCAGATATCTTGCCAGCGTGCTTGGCAGTGATGGCACTCATAAAAGCTGCTAATATGAGTGCTTGGGTATTCGTAAAATCACACTTTTCGCCGGATGCATCGATGTATACGCATGCATGGAGTCTAAATTATCAAAAATTATCGCAAAAAAGACCTGTGTGTCTGAGCACATTTGCCCAGTGCGTGCAACTAAATGCATATACATGAGTAGAACTACACGATCACAAACCCAAACACGCAAATAACTACAAATACTCCTATGCCTTGCACCTTTCTAACTTGTCACAGAGACCCCGTGCAAAATACGTACCGCGGATGCCTGCAGCAGTAAGTGTCGCTTCATCTCTCTGGGCAGCGTGGTAGCTATGCGGCTGAGAGTGCATGCAAAGCAAGCCCGCAAACGTACTGATCATATGCCCCGGTATTCAATGCGATACGGATGAAGCGTCAGCTGTAAATAAGCATAAGCTACGGTATGAGAAAATGGCTGAGCCAAAACATTCGACTGCGTAGTGGGTGTGGCAGCTCGTTGCAGTCGATTGGGAAGATGAGCCTCAAAAACAAAAAGCCGCTGAGGACATTGCAGGAGATTTTGCTCTTCTTACCTTGCCCACAACTTCACCATCCAGTGTTACGAAGACAGCTTCTTTTGAATTCCCTCCTACGTTCACGCTCCGCCATACGCCAACTCTAGAAGGCGACAGAAACAGATACGCAGTCTAAGATTTCCACAAGACACTGCCCGCAAAACTGCCGCCTTTGTGCAGACATGTACATGAGATGCCGCTCTGCGGAGGAAAGCTACAGCAGTACATAGAAGTACCTTCTCAGAGGATTCATGCCTGGTGGAGGAGGCTTCGTGGGGCGAGGCAGTGGCCTCCGCTGAGCTCGAGCAGCTCCCGGTAGTAGCCATGTCAGGGACGGCTGGGGCTTCTCCCTTGGCCTGACGTCCCTTTTCTTCAGTGACTTGCCCTCGTCTTGCCGGTGCGTTTGCTTCCGTTTCCTCTTTCGAGCTGGCACTTTTAACGCCTCGGCCTGAAGCCGATCGTCTACATTTTCGTCCATTTGCTGCGCCCCACTATGACAGTGTGAAGATGCTCCCTACTATGAGCTCCCACACAAAGCGATGTCTGTGCAAGGCAGACAGAGGGGTTCATCTTGTTCAGGAAGAACAAGTGATGAAGGAGGTGAGCTCAACACAGATCACCATTAGCCTTCAGAAGGCCGCATAGCCTCCCAAGAGCGGAAGAATGCGCCAAAGGAGGCGTATTGTCATATTTAATTCGACAGATTGCGTCAAAGAGTGAAGCTTTCTTAGGGATGTGGCCATTTTCAAAGTCTTTGTCATGCGGGGGCCCTTCAAGTGCCAAATGGCTTTCTTGAGCCGCCTACCCCAACAAGCAAATTCGCCTCACGTCATTTTTTCTTCGGGTTCACATCATTAAACAATTACTATGCAATTTTTTTCAGCGATTATGCACTTTTATCGACCTTCTTCAAAGTTGTGTGCCAGGCGTCCCCCCAAGCCCACTGGGGCCTCATGCTGTCTCCAGGCGGCTCCTGCTGTACGCGCTTCTTCTATATAAGAAGGGAAACAGCCGCAAAACATTGTTATTTAGAGCTAAGTCACGTATTCGATATTAGGACAAATCGGCTTCTTTTCCGACCTTTCTGGGCTTTACTCCTTACCTGGACACAGCAGTTTTGGCCAGCGTCAAGACTGTAGTGCTTGTCCTCAAAGAAGCGCTAACTCTCCCTTCATTTCTTCTTTGCGTTGGGACCCGTATGTCTAATGACAGGCAGGGATGCGGAGTTGCCACTCGGCAGCCATGTCGCGAAACAAGCGTACGTGGAGATGAACAGCGTAAGCAGGAAAAGGAGAGGAACTGACGGCATAATGGGACTCAATACAATGCCGTATAGGAATACCTCATCTTTATCAGCCCGGTCTGTATGGTTCTGTTGACCGTTTCTGCCCTTCCTGACTGACTTCAGGCGGCCAGCGCCATCGGGCGCATCGTTGATTCTACAACAGGACAGCATATAAAGTTAACACAAGAGCAACGAGAAGCTGCCGCTGCCGCTGTCCAATTTGGCTCTGCGGGAGAATCGAATCATGTGAGAATTCCGCCACTGTCTGGAAGAGCAGGCCTCTCATGATTATACATGTACATTGTTGAAAAACAACTCGCAAGTGAACGTGGGATCTTGTGACTGTGTCACTGACTTGCACTGTACAGGATCAAATGCGTTTTGAATTGACGCTCGATGAAGTTTCTTGCTCTCTTCCTCCCCGTAGCAGCACGTTAGGCCGTTTGCCCATTGTGTCTTCCTTGTCCCGGGTCAGCTGGAGAGTTCTATTACGCACAGGCAAGCTCAAGCGCTTAGACCCCAAGCCGCTGGAGCCCGTCCTTTACCCATTATCTACTGTCTTGCATTCCGGTGAGTTGCTGAGGAGCATTTATGACTGAACATGACTTCACTTGCTGGGCGCGCCACAGAAGCAGCCCTCAATAGCAGTTTTCGTCTTGGTCTTGCAGTGAGTTTATTCTTTCCGTGTGAAGGTAGAAGAGTGTGCAGCCAAAGCGTGACACGCGCAGTAAGTATGAGGCTGGGCTGTTCTTTGCAGGGTCGCTCGTGGCTATAATGGGGCCGAGCGGTTGCGGAAAAACTACATTGATGAGCATCATATCTGGGCGTGCTAGTTTGGCTCATTCTGGCCGTGTGGCTATAAATGGAAGACCTCGCACAAAAGAATTTGACCGGGTTGGCAACGGCTCTTTTCGAGAGTGTCACTGCAGGCAGCATCCGTACTGGTTATTCCCTGTGCACTCTTGCTCGTTGATAGTGAAACATGGGTAGCCAACACTAATTCTAGCCACCTTTTAAGGCGACTGGCTACGTAAAGTATTCTTTGCTCCGTGGCTCCTTTATTTGGCTGCAGTTTTCTTCATATGTGACGCAAGATGACATCTACGATGGCAACGAGAAAGTCATTGAGTGCCTCCAGTTCTCTTACCGTCTGCGCAAAGCAGTGCCACACGAGTGGACCCGTGAAGAGAGACGTATCCAAGAGGCAGAAGCTGTACAGCGAATCCTTGACCTGTTGGGACTTGCCGAGGTGCAACAAAGCAAAGTGGGCAATAACTTGAAGCGCGGAATATCTGGGGGGCAGAAGCGGCGTTTGAGCCTTGGCATTGGTGAGCTCACAATTACGTATTGCAGAAACTCATTGGGTACAAGGCTGGGTCACGAGCAAGCTGCGGAGCACTGTAATGGTGGGACTACAGGGAAATCAAGACCCACGCATTTTTTGTGTGGAGCTTAGTATCTCCGGCTATAATCAGCTGTCTGCAGCTGCCCTGTTTGAACATGCTTCTTAGGCCTTATGAGTGATGCGAAGATCCTGCTGTGCGACGAACCGACAACTGGCCTCTCCGCTGCAGATGCGCGATTGGTTGTACAAGCCCTGCGACGGCTCAGTGTTGAGTGCGGCGTGGCAGTGCTGGCGGTTATTCATCAACCATCCCACTCTATTATGCAGTGCTTTGATCAGCTTTTGTTGCTGAGCCACGATGGACGTTGTGTCTACAACGGCCGCGTGGATGCGGCGCTGCAGTACTTCAGTGCCTTGGGGTTTCCCTGTCCCCCACATCAAAACCCTGCCGACTTTTACCTAGATCTTGTTTCACAGAATAGCGAACACGCCGAAACTCTGGTGGATTTCTATGATGCTTTGATGAGGCCCTTAGTCCAATCGAGAGTCGAGCTCGCCTACGAGTGCCCGCCACCGCCACTAAACGATGACGTTCGTTTTCTCTCAAGTTGCAATCACTCGTGTTTCCAGTCAAGCTATTAAATCTGGACGAATATAGGCAGGACTAAGTGAATATTCTTGCTAAAACTAAGTGAATATATGAGCGTGAGCATCTGTGTGTTCTTCGCAGGTCGATGGAATGGAACTGGCTGGTCCATATGTCCAGTTCAAAGAGGTGGGGAGGCGCGCATTTCGCCTGTGGTTGAGGGACCGTTCAACTCTAATGGCAATCATGGGCGACTCTGTCGTCCAAGGACTGGTGATTGGGGCGGTGTTTTTCGGTGTTCGAAGCCGTGCATCCATGTATTATCAGTTATCAGCCCTTTTCCTGATGATTCTGAGCCTTCTGGCTTCGTCCCTATGGACAGTGCCGCTGTATGTTCAGCAAAAAGCGCAGTATCGAGTGGAAGTTGAGGATGGGTACTATTCCCCCGTCCCGTACATGTTTGCGACATCCCTTGTAGCAAATTTCTTCGTATTAGTGGGAGATGCAGTACTTGTCACTATAATGTGGCTTCTATTTGGGTTTCAGTTCGTTCCCTTGTTGGCTTGCTATCTTGTTGGCTCGCTTGGATTCGTCATATGCGACGTAGTGACTGCCATCTGTTCATTGGCGAGCAAGTCGTTTGCGGAGGCAAATGCCTCTGCAACCCTCATGTTCACATTGTTGATGTTTGTCAACGGATTTACAACAAACCCTAAGACGTTACCTACAGGCATAGGCTGGATTGCATACTTGAGCCCATTCTTTCTGGTATTCGAGGCTCTGGCCATCTGTATCCTGGAGGCTAACGAGTTTCAGGAAGATCCCCCAGAGGCCAGCAGGACTCTGCTCATGCACACGAAGGAGGAAGTCTACCAAACGTTTGGCATTGCAGGTCGAGCCTACGGAAACACAGGCAGTGCAATCCAATGGATGTTGGTGGTTGACTTCGTGCTCCTCCTGGCTTTGATGGCTATTTCGAAGTGCGTTGTTTTTACGTTGCAAGCAACGGTCTTTTTGCCCAGGCGCTACAAAAGCGAGCAAGCGCAGAAGCAGAGGAGCATCTTGCCGTTGTTAAGAAGTTGGCTACCAAAATTTCAACGAACATAATTTTTTTTGAAGGGCTGGCCTTGGCCTCAACCGTTTGTTGGACGGAACACTACACAAGTATGCGACTTCAGTTTTATAGTCAGTGGCAGCCACACTTATGGCCCGCTCTTGCTTCTGTAATATTGCTTGGTAGTTTGGGTGCAACACAATTAGTTCGTGCGCAAGGCGAGCTGCTATGCGGGCCTTATCTTGCATCGCGTACAGGCGCCCAGCCATTAGAGTGGGGGACAAGCCCACTGTACTAGCCTCGTTGCATTTATTCTTTTCGCATTTCCATCAAGTGTCGCACTGCATTCTTGTGGGGAAGACCACACCATATTTCCACACTGATGTGCAGAAATATTTGCAGTGAAAGCTAGATTTTTCTAGATGCTCACTAAGGTTCTTACAAAGAAAGGCACTCCTAACATCGCTGGTTGCTAAGCTGGCTTTGCAGTGTAATTCTTCACGTGGTAGTCTGCTCTGTACCAAGGTGATTGTCAGGTCGCATCCCTCCCTGATTTGTTCGGCGCAGCAGGAGCTCCCAGCTTCCCCAGGGTACATTCATTTTAGAATCTTTGGAGGAAGTGGGCAACCAACAAGTGAAGTATCTTTTCTGGAGACACATCATTTAATGTGTGTGCTATGTGACTGGCCAGTTTGCTGGCGGATTCAGCATTCTGCCTTCCGCGGCAGCGTCGCAATTTTGCCACGCGGCAGAATTTGAAAAATAAGCTCGGGAAGAAGACAAAGCGTTTGTGAACACAATAGACTTACTGCAGTTTTCTTGTCATCAGTAGCTCACAATTTTACGTTATTTTTATTACTTAATGTTGCTCTCCTTACTGCTTCGAAAGGGATCGATATCTCGTACAGCGAATTTACGCGCAGCAAAGGGAAAGTGCAGTGAAGTGCCAGCCTGGTTCTAAGTCCGTCACTCTACGACAGTTGATGGCAAATCCATCCTTTTAAAACTGCTTCTAATTATGCAGTATAGAGCCTCTTCTATCCTCAAGCAGCATAAGCAAGCCTCTTAAACAGAAGGATACTCAACAAACCAGGTATTAGACCCCTCAACAGTCAGAGCGGACTATGTGAACTTTTACTCTGTGTTGGTAATGCGAGTACACCTTGCAGCAAGACACATTCATAATAACATTTTTTTGGTGGCTGGAGCCTTCTGCTGAGCAAGGCCCAAAAGGAGAAGCGCGGCCACAGCTGTAAAAAGGTTGTCGCAGATGGCTGGAACTGACAATTCCGCTAGATAAGAGCGGCGCCCCTGATAACTCAGCACGTCGATAGGCTTTGTAACGGATAAAGTGCTATTACACCTTTTGCAGAAGGTTGACATCCCCCCGTCAAGCATGAAAAACTGAATAATGTCTATTCCCCACCATCCCTTGAATATTAGATAATCTCACCGAAGGGAGAAAAAAGCTTGTGGCAGTTTGCACGAAGAATAACAGATCATCCGTCTGCATCAACAACTAACACAATTTTGTAAATTGACAAAAAAAGCACATTTGCACTTTCTGAGGGGCTCGCGCGCTTTGTGTAGCCTGCATTGACAGTCTCTCAGGCATATACCCGCCGTCCGATAGTTGCATATATCTAAACTTGAACTACGGCATTTCGTCGATGCACCGTAAAAACTCTTCTTCAGTTGTCGCCAGCGAGCTGCAGCTGATTGCACCGCTAGCCACGTCCCTACCCCCAGCATACCGATGATTCTGATACGCTGCGTACGCGAAGGGTGAACGCCGTATAGCATCAGCTATCTGGAGAGATACTGAGCCGTCTATACAACGAGAGCATCCTGGAGAGCTGTTTGTTTCCTGCTCTTCCGACGAATCGCTCCACGGCAGTTGGCGCGGCTTGGCGCACCGCAGGAAAGGCCTAAAGGTATCTTGGAAGGATGACTCAAATTCAAAAACTGGATCTGTTCTACCAAACCCTGACCGTCCCACAAAGCCGTACAGGGGCAGCCGATATTGTGCATAATCCCCCAGAGCGTATGCCCAAGTCTGCTCCTGCTCGTCTTGAAATCGGTCGAATACAAGCACCCGAACTGCTGGATTGTTGCCATCTTTGGGGGAGACAGAAGGACTGGAGAGGAGAGCTGTTGGCAAATTAGGCTGACGAGGGTTGCAGCGGGGTCCTGCAGATGCTGCTGCATTCCATGGCTGCGTTCCGCGAGGCAGTAGCGTTGTGAGCGTTCCCTCATGCTGGTGACCAAATAACTGGGCCAAAACTACATCTGAATACGCTGAAACGAGGTCCCTGTACCTGCGAGACGCAAGGGAAGCAAAAACTGCACTACTTTCTGCCGGATTTGTCAGTAGGTGGTCCCTCGTGATAACAATGCAGTGTAGCAGCAAGTAGTTCCTTCCTGACCTTGAGGCATATTCAGGTTCCCAATTGACCCGAAAAAAAGCCCGCGCATCGAGCTTCACTGTTAGCGCCGGCATTATATGACCACAGATCAAAACCTGAGGACCAATCACACGTATCACCATTTCTTGCCAGTGCTGCTAGAGCCTACATTCTACCGAGGTGTTTCAAAGGCCAAAACACATGGTAAGGTTCTGATACAGCTGTGGCCGCTTCGAAGTTTGTTTTCCTCTAATAAACTGTTGACCGTGCCTGTTGTCCAAGGCCTCGAGCAGAATGAAGCTCTTTCTCCAGCCAGGCGAACTGTCCTGCTGGAGCAAATCACCATACACGCCCCAGTACTCTTGAATGTGCTCGTTTGTACCAGTTTGCTGGCATTTTGTGGGGAAGCGAATGGGGCAGGGGGATGCGTGACGCTTTTGCTAACCTGGGTCAGCTATTTCCGCGTAATCCTCCAGCGTACTTCTCATGATCGGCACCCCTGCTGCCGAGGCATTCAGCCCGCTGCTATTCTCTTCATCGCGCTGCACCAGAGCCCTTGCAGCCTTCCGCACTTTTACAGCATATAGGTTTGTGTTCAAGCATAGTACGCGCACCTGGGGAGCCGCTTTCAAATACGTTGAGTAATACATTCCTCGGAGGAAACTCTGTAACACAGTAGGTAGGCACAATCTTATACAACACACACAAATGCACAAAGAGTGAAATGCTTGCAGACTTGTCTAGCATAAATTCTGCTCATCAGCCTCAGAACTCGAATTCGGCGTATTCATACCCGCATCGAGTGAGTAGCAGACAGATCCGTTACGTTATGAGTGCAGCTCAGGTGGCGTACCTCGCGAGTTATTGGGTCCTGTGGTAGGGCTGGCCTCCATATATTGTATAGCATTTCCGCCCATTGTGTGCGATGTGGAGAGAAAACAGCTTGTGGTGGGAAATCGTGATTGCCCACGGCCAGCAGTAATTGAATGCGTCCCGCGAGTTCCCCTGATCTGTTCTGCTGCGGTGATGTGTTCGAGTCCTGGGGAAAGAACTCGAATAGTTTGTTGGTGACCTGCTGTACAGCCGCTAACCTGCACTCGCAGGCCTTTGAAGCATTTCCCACAATGAGTTTGCGACTCAACTAACAGCGCACACAGAGAAATCACGATTTTTTTAGCATTGTACACAGTGATTTCAGGGCTCGTTTTAAAGACTAAGTTTCTTTCGCCCATGCGTGAGGATAGGGCTTTTGAAAAAATGTGGGAAAAGAGCCTACACAAGCTTCTGATCATTCTTCTTTGGGGAATAAGCGTAGTCTCCTGTAAGTAAAATCGCTTGTATTGGCGGCAAGTGGTACTGCTCAGCTGCAGTGATGGCAGCCGGTGCCACATCAAGTAATCCAGCGGGACTTTCTCCTTCCCCTCCTGTGAAATGGCTCCGGGCCACCAGACCATGCACGAATCTGAGAGATTCCCCAAGCAGTCGGGGCGTTGAAGGGGATCCTGCTCGTCCAAGCGTCGGTTCGGTTTCGACGTGCAGCAGCCTGTCACTGGGAGTGCAGCCATTGATGTTTTGCTGGCCACTGCCGACTGTGGAATGCACACCCGGGAAACAGTGGGTCTGCAAGTGTATATCGGAGATCCACGCTAAAGCTAAATGCCTGGGGAATTTTCCAGTGGCCTGCCCTGGAAAAGGTGCACCACCGCTAATAGCTGCACGGCAGCTAGCAAACTCGGGGGGAAAAAATCCGGCCAAAATAAGGTACCCCAGCACTGCCCAATTCATTTTGGCAGAAAGGAGAGTCGATTGTTCCCCACGGATTGTTTGGGCAAACGAGCAGCTGCTCGCGTCCTCCCAAGTCAAATTTATGACACAGCTAGATGCGCATGTGAATGGTAACACAACTCGTGGTATGCATGCATGGGATAGACAAAAGCATGAGTTTTTTCAGACGTCGTCAACGCCAAAAGTATAATCGCCGCAGGATGAGTGACTACGGGATCCCGTTCCCGCGAAAGAAACGAGTGGTGTTCGCATCCGCTCTGAAAGGCCACGCGTTCACCATAACACTCGACATATCAACTTATTATCTACTCTTTCTTATTAAAAAGGCTAGAAACAGTCAAAGACGGCTAATTCGTCTCAGATTTTTGAGAAAGCTATAGTGCAACTACAGCTCGACAGTCCCAAACGCCCGTTGGAATCGTAGGTGTTCTCGTGCAACAGTCCTTCCTAGTCTCCAACTAATTGAGGTCAATGTGTGGTTAAAGCTTAGGTACCTAAATTATTTCAAATAATGCGAACATGATAAGGAACAATTCAGGGTTAGCACTTATATTTAACAGTTTTGAGAGTTCAGTCTCGACCAACTATGTCCACTGGAAAGAGTTCTCGCATCTGCGTCCACTTATGCGGCACTTCTTCCTTCACGTTTATATTTGATTGGCCAATTAGGCATTTCACGATGCCAGTTTCTGTGGCTGGGGTGAAGTTCGAGATACGCCAGGTGGGGATGTTTTTACATATTTTGGGCGCACCCCATCACACCTAGCTCCGATTCGAGTATACATTGATTTTAGTATTTACCCATAAGGATCAGACGATTCTATTTGTTATCTTCTCCGATAACTCATTTTTTTCCTTACTGCAGTTGCCGAAACGACTATTGCCAGCCTCCAGTGTATCCGTTGCCTGCATCTCAGCATATGAGATTTCACGGCACAAAAGCCCATTAAAAATCGGAAAATTTGGGGAAGTTTGGTGCGCCCTGGTAATTAAACAGTTGGGTCCTTTGCAACGGCAGACAAAGTTGCAGCCAACACTCTGTATGCGCCAAACACTTTTTGGTGTAGTGTAACTAGCTCTCAGACTCTAGAACACATACCGGTTGGCATGTGCCTAACATCTTAAATTTGTGGCGAAATTTTGCAGTGTTGTTGATCTGGCGCAGCATAGAGCAACGTGGTAAATCTCCCCTGGAAAGATGTTCCGGTGAAATTCTCAAGATTGGTTCTTTAAGTTCGAAATCTTCGCAGACGCCGTCTCAGTAGGGCGTGGATAGATGGTGTCGTAGGTGCTTTGCTGCTCGTCCAAAAACACAAAAAGTATGTACCTGGAGAAAACTCACGGGTGCTTCATTCTCCAAAGATCATTAAATATTTCTTGACACATAAGTTTGTGATGCTTCAGTCAAATAATCCTTTTTTGACGCTGTCACGCCTTCTGGTCGCGAAATATTTCGTTTGTTCACTGGCATAAACACACATAACAAATCAAGTTGTTCTGTTGCAATGAATTTGACCATTCAGGAGCCTAAGCAGAGTTTTAGAGCCCCACGACTTGTTACATTTAATCTCTTAGGATCTGCATTTGAGAGCATCTTTCAGATGCTGCACAGCTCATCAATTTTCGACGTTACCAAGCCTACGAAGTGAACAAGTTCTGATCTTTTGACACGTTTTGTCAGGTGCAAGGGCTGCCCCTTCCACATTCTGCCGGAAGTCTGTCGAGTTTGTACGAACTCCTTGCCGCTTAGTCTGTGACTGGGGACTGTCGGAATTTCAGAGGTAGCTGAAATCTTCCAGGCTGTTGGCGAATTTGTTATGAAAATAGTCGACTGACTTCTCTGATTCCCCGGAAACTTCTGCACAGATTCAATAGCCCATAGATTATGTTGGGCTGCGTTTCGCGGCCAAGCATATGAAAGGAAACCTTGAGAAACATGGGATATTCCTTTGTTCCTGACGCATCTTTTCCGGGCGTGTCGTCCCAAGGGGTTGGCAAGACCAGTGCCGAACGAAGTCACAGGCGGTGCTGGACGTCATAGGGAGAATAGAGCCATCACGAATGGTTTTCATGAGAAGAAAGTGGCAGAGGTATTCAACCGTAAAAGCAATTTATCATCTGCAATGCTGTTTCAGTTCGGCCAATGCAGCAATACAAGGACGCATGCAGTTGTGCACAACCTTGCAAGTCTATAGATACTCTGTTCGGCATTCACTGTCCTTTGCGACGTCCCTGTCTTCTCCCCTTCGTAAGACGCACATGATATGCGAGTCTCTACATTGAATACTATTTCGACTGTTGGTTGTTGCCCTGGCCGCAATTCGCCCCATGCTCTGTCGGCGTTTCAAGAAATGATTCAAGACATTTTGTCCGCTGAAGCGTTATGTCGCATCCACAGCCCGGTTACTTGGAAGCTCAGCTATTCGGGAATACTAAAGCCAAAAACTTGCATCAATTGGCAATGAGCGCGTCTCGGCTTTTATCTGTTGTGCATTCGTTGCGAGCGCTACGTGTCCATGTCCACACAAGCGCTTTCGCAGATGGCCGCCGCATGTTTCGCCCGCATAGTTTGTGAGAGTTAAGAATTGTGTGATCACCAGTTTGAGGTACGAAACTCAGTGCATCAATTTTCAGGACGGCTGAGATCAGTGACTGGGACATTGAAACTCCCAAGCCTCCGCCACACTTGGAAACACAGTCGGTGAAAGCGTCCGATAGAACAGAGTGTTCGGTCGCAAATGGAAGTTTGCAGCGTTTGAAATAACATGAAGGCCGATATTACGTAGGTAAAGAGCTGAACTAGGGACAGAGACCACCAGAATAAGACTCCATAGTTTCAATCGCTGGCTGCTAGAGACGTTGAGGAGACACGAGGCAGGCAACGGTGACGGGGCCTTGATCGGCTGCAGTTGCCTACTAGTCCAATAGCCCATATAATATTTGCTTTTTGAATTGTTTTTGTTACCAAAATAGCCGCGCGGCGTCCCCTTACTTCTGAGGCTCATCAAGGTCACCTCAACACGAGACATCAACTTCTAGCTTTGGTGCAACGCAGACACATTAGCATATCACGAAATTTCTCCTAATTTTGAGAAGACACGACTTACTGAAAGTATTGAAGTAGTTTCTTCTTACTGCTAAAGCAATCGACCGCAACAGTTTTGCTCATTCCGAGTTCAGCTGCTTTCAGCTGGACGTACTGGCGCTTGACGAGCTCGGTTCCTCATTATTTCGGCTTGTGTGCGCATTTGTTTTTTGAGTGGCCTTCTGTAAACTCACGAGCTTGTACTAAAGATGAAAATCGAAGAAGTCACGTCACTGGAGCACGCGCAGCGCGTGGCTTCGCACAGTCACATCAAGGGCCTTGGGCTCTTACCTGACGGGACGGCCAAAGACACCCATATGGGAATGGTGAGCAGGCTCACCCCATGGGAATCGACACGTATCTATACTGCCACCTATCCTCGCCTGTTTCCCACCAAAAGGAGTACTGATATGAATTCACCTTTTAACAGAATGTGCTACCCACTTCATCAGCAGCAGGCGACAGTGGCACGACACTAAAAAAGCAGTCGTGGCATTAGGGTCACATGACGCTTCTCTGCGGGCAAAAAGTACTTATGCCGATATTTTCATGCAGCACGTGAATGTTTTCTGTTAAGGTGGGGCAACACCAAGCACGCGAAGCTGCTGGTCTCATCGTGGAACTCATCAGAAGCAAACGCATGGCAGGGAAGGCTCTGCTAATTGCTGGTCAGTTCATTAAGGCACAATCCACTGCATTCTTCTTATTCGTCGCTCTTGGTTGTGGCATTTAAGCTGGTGCTAGTTTCCCAGCCGCTAACCCTCACAGGCATGTGGTGGGGGGGCATCGCTACATATAGGCCGCAGCACACCGAAGTTATGTGGGTTCAGGCCCTCCGGGCACTGGTAAAACTGCAATTGCCATGGCAATCGCGCAGGAGCTTGGAAGCAAAGTGCCATTTTGCCCCATGGTTGCGAGCGAGGTCCGTAACTGCAATGCAGCTTGGAAACCCAAGCCTTTCTTTTAGCAACCATCTTTGTCAGCAGCATGGACGCTGCTTGAATAGTCAGCTTAGGTAGAGCCTTTCATATGGCTGGCTTTTTCCTCTTCGCTGTCTACACTCTTTGGAGCTTCTTGTTCGGTATGGTTGGGCCCTAGGTATACTCAAGTGAAGTGAAAAAGACAGAAGTACTTATGGAGAACTTCCGCAGGGCCATTGGCATAAAAATTAAGGAAGTGAAGGAGGTGTTTGAGGGCCAAGTTGTCAGCTTGGTAAGAACATCAGCTTCGTATTCCTTGTCTTCAACAGGTTATTTCTGGTTGATGAATCAGAAGCCGATTGCAATGAAAGACACTAAAGAACCTTTCTCAATTTGTCCTCAAATTTAGAAGGTTTACTGCCGGTTGAGTGAAGCCTTAAGCGGCCCTGCTCAAGTTGGTTTTGCAGACTGATGAACCGTGTGACGCTCTGACAGCAAGCCAAAACTCATCACGAAGCGATCCTAGCGAGGAGGCTCCTTGCCCCCCCGTTCGAATTACTCTGAAGACAAGCAAAGGGTCGAAGGCTTTGCGACTTCAAGCCTCCATCAACAGGGGTTAGCACGGGACCCTTCTATATTTGCATTGTCAGTCAAAACCCGTAGCTCTGGCTCTCTGGCCACTATGCGAGGCTTCAACGTTTGCTTATGCGCATTCAGAGCTGAGAAAGGAAAAAGTTGCAGTGGGAGATATCATTTACATTGAAGCCGCCACAGGTCAGGTGCGGCGAGTGGGTCGGAGTGAAGAATTTGCTGGCCAATTTGATCTCGAGGCAGACAAGTATATACCCGTTCCCAAAGGCGATGTTCACAAGAAGAAGGAGGTTATTCAGGTAATATCTTTACTCGCTAGACGGTGTACTTTCCCACAGCCCACAGTAACACTGTGCCACAAAAAGCAGGAGTAGAAAGGAAGCAAACCAAAATTTTCTCCGGAAATTTTCTCCTACGTGGGTACTTGTGCTTTCTGCTTCTAATATGGAATCCTCAGGACGTTACTCTTCACGACTTGGATGCCGCCAACGCGAAACCTAATGGCGGCGCTCCCCTTGCATCGTTGTTTGGGCACTTTTCGAAGCCGCGAAAGACTGAGATTACTGAAAAGCTCAGGCAGGAAATAAACAAAGTTGTCAACAAATATATTGACCAAGGAGTAGCTGAACTTGTGCCTGGTGTCTTGTTCATTGACGAGGTACGTTGCATCGATCCGCTGAGGCTGCTTTACCTCACAGAGCCATCCTATTAGCACCGCTGATGGATTCCCTCATAAAGGGATGCCGCGCATTACGCGAAGCATAGCAAGAGCCTGGAGCCTGTAGTCGAATTTGCAGGCGAAGCCCAGTGCTGAAGGCTGTTGACTTTAGCAGCGAAAGAAGACAGCGCTGCAGTGCTTTCCGTGAAAGAAACTGTTTTGGCCATGTGCGGGGGGGGTGCAGGTTCACATGCTCGACGTTGAGTGCTTCACCTACTTGAACCGTGCCCTTGAAAGTCCCCTCTCTCCTGTTGTTGTTGTCGCTACAAATCGAGGCGTTTGCACGATTAGAGGCACAGACGTTCTGAGTTCTCACGGGGTGCCAGTGGACCTATTGGACCGCATGCTTATTGTTCGCACACAACAGTACGCTAAGGAAGAAATTAGAAAGGTTAGTAAGGATATCGTTTCCAAATACTACTTTTTGACATATCTGCACGCGAAGTTGACCGTGCAGAGAAACACGGGTCCCCGAGGCACAGCAGCAGCTAAAGATACTGTCGTTCTCATTCTGACTTGCGACTGCTGACAGGTGCTTGAAATTCGCTGCGAAGCAGAAGGACTTTCTCTGACGCCTGAAGCTGCAGATATGTTGGCGTCTGTGGGTGTCCGCACATCTCTGCGCTATGCAGTCCATCTTCTCACTCCAGCTGCCATTCTAGCAAAAGCTGATATAACTGATTATGACTGTGATAATGCAGAGTTAGACGAACCAGTTATTCAGCTACGGCATGTGCAGCAAATCGACAGTTTGTTTCAGGACGCCAAGACGTCCTCGAAACGGCTTGCAAGAGAAGCAGATTTCTTTATCCAATAAACAAAAAATGAGGGCTACATCCCTAAGCTCAGTGGTTGTTAAGCTTCGCAGAAGACCTACACAAATTCTTGGGGGCCGCCTGTCGGCTGACAAAGACGCAGAGTAATTTAATAGCAAGCACTGATTTGGCAATTAAGCATTTGCTTGGCATTGAGAGAGAAGACACTATATGCATCCGCAACTGGACTATGCGGCTTTTTCTTTCCAACTTAAAAAAAATACTTGCGCAAAGTTGCTTGCCGCCCCCTTCACACACTGCCAGGCGCGAAGCAATAGCAGTCCACACAATTTAAAAACTATTAGGAAGTGAAGCTTGTCACCCTCCGACAATGGTCCCACTTGGATGCGGGGCTTCCGTTTCGCAGTATTAACAGTAAGATCTGCGGTGGAGTGCTCTCTCCTCTACTTTGGACCTTCCATTCATGGGCGCGCTGACGAGCATTCCACGCTAGTTCATCCCAACCCGTCAGCCTTCAGGTCCAAGTTATGGTTTGGGGCTAAAACTGGATCCTCGCACTCCAGTGCGTTTTGTCTGCAGCTGATGGGCAGCAGACTTCTGCAAATGTAGCAGAAGAGATGGGCTCTTCACTTTGACGAGAGCTCCAATGTCGTGTAATCTTGCCTGGAAAACAGTGTCGCATGTTGCAAGCATTTCTGTCGTCTGTCCTTTGCTCTGTGTAAGATAATGCAGGGATTAAGCGATCGAAAAGCGCTCACATGCATAAGAGCAAGCTTCGACTTGAGGGCGTTGTAGCGGAATGACATTTGCTGTCTAATCACCTCCTCAGAGCTTTGAAGGAAGTCGCAAGACAAAAGCTCAATGAATTTGTACTCCATGTTCTGCGTAGAAGGACAGCAACAGCCCAGTAGCCAATCAATGATAAAAACCCGAAAAGAATAGTGTAGCGCTACGCCACAATCTCACGGCTCTGAGTAAACTCAATTGTTATACAGCTACCAAATATACCTGAATAAAATCAAGACGTCCTTTTCCCGTAGTTTCCATTACAAATACAGCGAGAAAACTGCAGGTCAATCCGCAAAGCAAGCAGTTCATGTAAGTAATAGTTAGCACTCAATCTTTGGAGGTGCAGAAATGCAAATGGCTCTGCTCACATGCAGGGGTGCATCCAATACAAATAAATGCTTTAGTTGACTTCGTGACTGTCGCTCTGAAGGTATATGCCTAAACCGTCGAACCCAAAGGAGAAAGTTAATATAACAGAAAGCTATAATGGCCGATTCCTAGAGCACACTGAAGTCTCCCTGCTGTACCTGTGGGGCTCTCTAATGCATGAGTTGAGCATCTTCATCAGCACTTGCGAGTAATCCGCGAATTCAATCATCAGCTTCTGGCTTTGCTGCATCTGGCGAAATGACTTCTCATCTGCCCTAGTGCGCACAAAAAGCAAAAGGGCCTAGCAGTGGCAATGTTCATGCGTTGGAGTTCCGCACAAGTCGAAAGCTAATGACTGAAATCGTTTAGGCTGAGGCGGCTCCGCTGCATTATATGGCCCTGAGTACAGTGCTTGGTGCGTCCATACACGTGAGTGTAGTGGAAAAATAGGTCGTTCTCGCTAGATGCTTCGATTCGGACTTCCCGAGGATGCGCTTCTTCTCCCTGAGAAGAAACCCCAAACATAATATAGAAATCGTCGGGAAACACTTGCCACACTGAGACATTGTAAGCGCAAGGCTTTGTGCGAGCCCAATGAACTGACCAAAATTAAAACTTTCACCCTGATAGGCTCGAGCCTGCCCACGTCTTGAGGAGCTTTTGTCCCCTCCTGCATCCGAAGCTCACATGGGACCTCCCTCTCGTATAGGAGAATGTGACCGTCAGCTGTTAGCATTACAAGCACGCTCACAAGCAAGGGTTCAACAAATTAGCTTCTGTACCTCGTGTCTCAGCAGACAAGAACGCCTTATGTTACTCCCAAGTTAAAGCTAACAGGGGTGGAAGGCCTCAATCACGTTTGGACGCTTCTACAGTAACACGTGCAACGAGACTGTTAGCCGGCAAGTTGTACAGGTAGCCACACGGGCCAAATACGGCACATGTTGACAAAGATAAGGGGCTTGCCGAGAGAAGGGTCCATTTCATCGATGGCGGAGAAGTCGAAGTGAGTCAAAAACGCGGCGGAGTCCGCAGGAGGGAGCATCCCGTCAAACGCGCAAGCCGCATCAGCTGACGCGCGGTTGGCCATCTTCGCTCAGCCTCTTGGGACACCAGTGAAAGATCTAATTCACATCAATTTACTAGTAATAAGTACACTAGAAAAAGAACTGTGTTTGGTCAAATCAGCGACCGTATTCCTCGGCGCTCACAGTCGCTAGACTCGCGCTCGGCTCACGATTCACATTCACTCTCGAGAGTCACAAGCCGCTTCTTTGTGTACAGCAATCAATTTAGAAAAGAAAAGATAAAAGACCTTGGTTTGTTTCGTGTGCGGCTCTGTACATATTGGATTGGGCCTGTGGCAGCCGCATGCCTCACGGCTTGAGCCGGAGAGGGCCTACGGCCGTGCTTCGTCAGAGGCCCGCGGAGGCCGAAACTCACAGTTCCCGTCCGAGACATAATGAAGACAGCTTGCATCTGGCTTTCTTTATGTAAATTTAGATAAAGAAATATTCAGTGAGTCGTATCTCGCGTGACTTTAACAATGAGCTACTGAACCTTGCGGTGCTCGTCCAGCCATACTGCAGAGAGTGCACGCTTCCAGTCCTAGGGTGTCCCCGTAGGGACTTTAGCCAAACCATGAAACAGCCAGCCTATGTTGTGAGCCTGTAAAGAAAATGTTGGTTCTCACCGTTGCATGGGCTGCGAAATGGCAACGAAGTAGCACTAGCCTCCTTACGCCACCAAGACGAACACTGCTGAACAGAGAAATACAGGGAGGCCAACGAGTTCCCTCACTACTTATTTGCTGGCTTAGCAGCTCCCCAAATATTTCAATTCACTCCGCTGCATACACACATGATGAACTGGAGATATGCTGATCTTCACGTCGCTACACCGCCCCCGCCTGTTCTCCGTTCGTAAAAATGATACCATTCCCACCAGAAACGTCTCAATCACTCTTTCTCCAATTAACTGGAGAGGCCGCGCACAAGTAAAGCATTACCCCGATGGAAGACAACCTGAATGCCTCCAGCGCTAGGCCGAAAGTTTCCCAACAAGCAACTCTTCAAAAACTCCCTTATTTCAAATCTGCATTATCTGTTCACTACCTATACTCCCGAGCCTGCTCTTAGGATCCTTTCTCTCCACAGAAGTTCAATCTAAACTACTGGCGTCGCAGCACAAAATTGAGCAATTGCTCCCGGCAAAAAGTAGCCCAATAGATACAAAACGTAGCGTTCAACTAACTTGGTGTTGAACAAACTCGTCGAACAAACAAAAATTCATCTAATCTACCTACCCGCACAGTCAAGGGTCTGCACTGTCAAACAAAAATTCATCTAATCTACCTACCCGCACAGTCAAGGGTCTGCACGGTCTTCCTTGCAGACGCTTTATAGACTCGGGCACGCCAGGGCAGCAGTGCACTACGCAGCCGTATGCCGTTTCTGCTCTGCAGCACTTCTTGCGCGCTTAAAGAAGACCAATGCAGAGTATGTAGTACAAGAAGACACGCAAAAAAAGCCGCACACTGTACGTATATCCGCTGAAAGCTGCGTGTCGCCTGCCGGCAACCCAATGATGCCTTTCAGCTCTTAGCTCAAAGCAAATACGGTACCACGCCCACTGAACTCGGAATCGCACACCACATAAGAAAAAGAAATCCCATGGCTGCTAAATGAGGCAATTAGAAAAATCTTGCACCAGATCCAAGGCGGCCTAGCAGTTTATCCATGATTCCCCCTTGGCCTTGAGCCCGCAAAGCTGCTTTCCGTTCTTTCTCAGCCTTGAGCTTTTCACTCATTTCAGCGTTAACTTCCGTGGGTGCTATCATGCCACCCATGAAACGCGACTGCGCTGCAGAATCGGCACAAAACGGATTCGAATTCACCTACAATAATTCACTCCAAACAATGCGTTTCAAGGACGTTTCTCCACGCGAGGTAACCACTCCCCAGGGTCACAACGAAAACGCGTCTACTTCAATCCTAAAGTTAAAAAAAGTAAAACTACACGAATAGCAGCTTCCTTTAACCTCAGGGCCGTCGATACTAACCAACTCGAGCTCCAGTTAGGCAAACAGACAACGAGAAGGGAGAAAAACCACAATATGTAATAGTCTCTGAGTCGTACACCAGTAGCTACAATAGCCCTACGGCGCTTTGCAGACCTATCAACAACTATGGCCTTACCAAATAGGGCAGAGTTGGCGCTGAAGAAAGAAAAGCCGCCGCTGCTACTGCTGGACATGTGCGCTCCATTGCTCTTCTGTTCCTGCCCAGTTCCTTCCCAGTTCCCTCTTAGCTCTTCATCGAGATAGCCGTTGCCGTACTGCTCTTGTTCCACCGATGTAGGAGATGGCCGCGCCTCTGCTGCGCTGGCTGCAGTGCCTTCGCCTGCCGTATCACTTGGCCCCTCCTTAGACGCGTCGCTGTCCCTCCGTGGAGCTTTCTGCAACAACTCTGAGTTGAGCAAAAGAGTTAGAGGGCCCATAGCGGCGCGCAGCTCCCTCAGCTGCTGTTGCAGCCGCTGCGCCCTGCGAGAAAGTCTAATGTTCACTACTGCTACTCCGTCCCCCTCTTCACTCGGCTGCCTCTGTTCTGTCTTTTTCGCCGTTGCGTCTGAGCCTATCGCCGCGGCCTGCCGCAACAGACTGGCCGAGTTAAGAGTGACAGTGGCACTTGAAACACCCCACACGCGCACAAGCCGCAGCTGCAGATCGCGTTGCAGTAGCTCAAGTACCCGTTGTCCCTGATGTTCCTGCTGCTCTTGCTGAGGATGTTCTGTTTGTTGCTGCTGCTGCTGTGCTGTAAAGTTAAGAAGACTGCGGTTAGAGGGACAACGCAACAAACCCCTAAGGCCTAATACCACAGAGAAGAGATCTAGAGACTCAAGTGGCTCAGCGTCACCTTCAGCTTCTGTCTGCTGCTGCTGCTTCTCCTCTTGCCCCTGCTGGACCTGCTGCTCCTCACCTTGTTTTAACAAAGCCAGGGATGCGGCGCAACACTCACTAACAACAACATCGCTGCTGTTCACGTGTTGCTCCAGAGCGCCAAGCATGTCATTCAACTCAGGTGATTGCAGGAGCAGCTGCCTGTGTTGCTGCAGCAACAGCCGCAGAGACCCTGCTGCCTGGTGCTGCACCCCACGATCTGGATGTTCGAGAAAGTAACAAATCCCCAGTGCCATGCGAGGGATCTTCGCCCTGACTGCCGGAGAGGGGCGCGGCTCGGCAGCAAGCCTCTGCAGTTGGTGTACAATCATCAGCGCGTCCATCTTCAGAAATACTCTTCAACCCTTCGTTGCTGAGGTCCCCCTGAAGTACTGTAGCCAAAGTCGTTGCCGCTACTGAAATCTGCTCTCGAATGGTGACAGAAATCCAGAAGTCTTGCCAATGTTGGGGGCGACGACGCTAAAGCTCGAAACCCAGAGGGCTTGTGAAGCTTTCAGATGCGCATTTGAAGCCGCGAAGCAAAGTAAAATATGTGCGTCTTTTGCCAATAAGAATGATGGGACAGCAGAACACCAACAGCCCGCCAGTGTCCCAGGGGGTCATTGCGGGCGTCCCCGCCTTCCTCCCCTTCAGGCAGTTCTGAAAGCCAAATGCTTGAGTTCGAAGACATGCAATTGAAAGGAACCAAGGAAGTCGAATTCCGCGAGGATTACCTCGTGGTACCTCATGGGCCTTCTGGTGCGTAGTGTTCCGCATGCACAGACGCTGCTCATCGCACTGTTGCGGCAGCCACTCATAAACACGCTTGCAAATCTGTAATTTTCCCTCCAAGGAAAAATACTTAAAATAAGTTAAATGGAGGCGTGCGAACACAAATTTGCATCGAGACAGAGCTGGTCTTGCACAGAATCTGGTATGCAACGACCTAGCGTGGGTGTCTGCTTGTGTCAGAAGTGAAACTCCAGAAAATAGGACGCTTGCCAAGACATGTTAACAAATAACATGCCACCTGCTTCACAATGTAATGCGCGTCCGCAGTGGGTACCCCTGTTTGGGCCCGGAGGGAACTCGGCGCAGTACACGAAGTTCTGGCTGCCCCGGAGCAAAACAGTGCAGGTTCAGTGTGCCTCGAAGATTTTCAAGGCATTTTCGCTTGATGGGGTGAGCGCTCGGCCGTGTGGGGCCCCAAGTGAGCCATAACACTACGACGTGGACGCAGCCTCCGTCTGTTACACTTAAAAGTATGCGGCGTCTCCGCCGCCCACAGCGTAGCCGTTTTCTACTACCTTCGTTAAGTGGCAAACTAAAGCACTTGATCACCCCTCTACAGGGCTTTTATTTGAAAGACGGGAAGAGCATGCACTGAACCTGAAGAGGATACAGTGTGAGTGCCGTTACAGAGCCTCAACCTGCACATTGACTTTTGGGGCAAATATGGTCGGCCACTTCCACCTAGGCACCTTGGCTCAACTAAAAACAGAAGCAGTGCGCTTCGTTCGCCTGAAACTGAGTCTGACGATCACACAGTGCGTCTGTGACTTGTGGGGCTGCTCCTGGTGCCGTCACCACTTCTGTTTGCACAGAGAGACTAGGCACGGGGAACGCTGAAGCCCCTGTAGCTAAGACCCAAAAGCCAATGTTGAGTTCTATGACGACCCAGTCAGCCGGGCTACTGCAGTCGCGGCTGCCTGCCACGTCTACAGGGGTTTCCGCGTTGCGCGTCACCGAAGTCAGTGGGCCTCGATAACCGACCTTTTCGGCTCCCGCTGAAGCCCACTATCACTTTCCTGAGACAAGGCAGCAACAAAAATACATAAAATGCAGTAGCAATGCGTGCTTCAAACTTCCCGGTTGCTAACTTAAGAACAAAACATTTCCTCTGTAGCGCTGCTGGCTGACCTGAAATTTCGACTTCTTGCTCTCGGCGAAGTCGGTTATCGTAGGCACCTACAGAAACCGCAACATCCATGTACTGCAGGTGCTTTTTTTTAATCTGCCTTTGGGGACAGAAGAAGCAGCAGAAGCAACACAAAGGGCGTCACAGCTCACCGCAGTTTTGATTTGCTGGTATAGTAGCAGAGCTAGACTGTGGGAGTCCATCACGTCCACCCTAAGTGCTGTGTATCTCATTC